TCTTGATGTCAAAGAAGTTCCTCAAGATGAGAGAGACAAATTGCAGAGCAATATCAAAGCAATGAGAATCATTAGATTTGCATTGCATGTTGATATGTTTCGTCTTGTTAGTACTTGTGATACTGTAAAAGCCATATGGGACAGACATAAAGAGCTTTATTCAACAGACGGAGATCTGGGTCATTCAATTAAAACCCTCTTGTTATCTGAATTTGGTGCGTTTGTGCAAAAGGCAGATGAAAATCTTAGTCAAAAGTTAAATCGTTTCAATCATATTTTAAGCCGAATGATGAAGCATGAGATTGGACGAGAAGTCATCAAGTAGAAGGTAACATTCATGAATGGACTAAGGTCAGAATCGATGGTAGTGGTATCGACAGTGAAAGCCTACAAACAGTTCATAAACTATACCTTAGCAAAGCTGGTAAGGATCTTGAAGTCACACGAAAGTGAAGTTACTAAAGAAACGAAAGTTGTGTCATGCATGGGTTCGTTGGCTCTGGTTGCAAATGGAAAGCAAGTTTATGAGGATGATGTTGAGTCCAACCTTTCTGACTGTGAACTAACAAATGAAGAGTATGCTTTAATGGTGTCAAATCCTAGGAGATTCGCTATGAAAAAGTTTCCTTCCAAAAAACAAAATTGGTAGGGAAGCTATAGTTTAGAAAAGGTGAAAGAGGATAAAGTGAACAACTTCCAGAAAGAAGAAGATAAGAAAGAGAAGAAGCTGGCACATTATTCGGGATATGATTGCAACTATTGTCACGGTAAGAATCATTTAGCAAAAGATTGCATGCTAAAGAGAATGAACGAGAAGAAGGAGGGAGAGGATGATGAGGCGTACCAGCTTTGCAAGCTTGAGGAAATCGAGCAGAAAAAGAAAATTGATAATGTTATGTCTGTTATAGTTGTGCATGGAAACAATGATGAAAACGAGTTTGGTGGAGTGGAAGTGTGGTCTACTGACTTAGAAGACGAAGAAGTCAGAAAACGCACTCATGGAAAGAGCTTGGTTGCAAAAGAAAGATATTCACATGTGGGCGGAAGATGCTTTGTGGTGACAAATGGCGTGTCACAAATGTGAGGGTACACAACAGATGATGGAAAGGGAGATGCGGATGAACGAAGGGATGTCAACTGCTTCGCTGCGAAGCCGGTTCTTACACAGATCAGCGAATGTGATCAGCTGATCAATAAGGTACATTCCATTCTTGAATCTCTTAATATTCCAATATCTAATTATGAAACTAACTTACATGATTTAAAATTCACCTTTTTCAATTATAAGTGAAAGTCTGAAACAAACTCGCATATCAAATGCTAACATGACCGATCAAATGAGCAGTGTGTCATAAAAATTGAGGAGCGGAGAATGTGGATTGAGAATATTGAGTCCAAGCTTTCTAGGTCTAGGGATGAATCTATTTATTTACAACGAGGCAATTTGAAGCTTTTAAAACAAAGAAACATTTTCTATTTAATTGCTAAGAGGCTTTATTTTAATATTTGTCAATTGCATTTAGATTGTGAAATTGGTAAGAAAATTCATAAAATGATCTTGCTATTTTTGGAATTAAAGGAAGATGAAATTGATGCTGATTGTTTTCAATGTGAATCTATCGTTTCATCATATGAAACCTCAAAGGCCTATAAAATTGGACTTAACAAAATTGAATCATACATTAAGTCCAAGGATCACAAGGACATGTTGAGACAATTACTTGATGAAAATGACAAATTAAACATCAAAATCGAGACTGTACAGAAATTTGATTCATTGAGTTCAAAATTGAGTTCAGGTAATAAATTAAATATTGAAAATGTTTCTGAATTCACTGAGGGCAGTGAAATGAGTGAAATATCTATAGAATATGGGGTTGATTGTTCGTTATTCATTCGAAAGGAAAATGAAAAAGCAAAAGTTCTCATTTCAGAAAATTCAGTTGAATTCGCTCGTATTTCTCAAAGTGAACCAAAAACATTAAAAGCGAAAGGAACTGTTTTCCCTAAGGTATAAATTGTTCCCAATTAAGTGTTTGCCACTGAAGGAGTAGACAAAAAACAAACAATCAAACTTACGTCCCTCGTTAATGAAGACAACAAAGATGGTTGTGATGAATTCTTTTGGTCTGCACCAATAAACAATGCAGATGAAACGAAGGGTTTATCTGAATTAACCTATTGGATAGTTAAAGGTAGATATGTAGCAGAACCACTGAACAATAATTTAGCATTTGAAAAGGGTATCCCAAGTGGTACCAAGGAAGTTCAAAGCGAAAACAAACCTTAGTCGGTAAAGGACGAAACTCATGTGAGAAAAGCGAGACCTAAAGTAAATGTTCACAAGTCCGTTGAACAACTCGTTGAGCAAAAACGTTTATGGTTGATCTTGCTATTTCATTTCCTCTTCCTGTAAAAAAGCTCACGTGGACCCAAGCAACTCTGGGTTCCTAAATCTGCTTAACTTTTTGCAGGTTATCTGTGACGAACAGTTTGATACAGAATGATATATAAATAATGGTTGTTCGCATCACATGACAGGAAGAAAGGAGGAGCTAAGAGAATACTTGGATCTGAAGAATGGTGGTCTTGTGAAGTTTGGTAATAATGCACTTGGAGAAATCAAAGGTTATGGAATGATTACTAATGGCAAAATCTCAATTTACAAAGTGGCATATGTGGAAGGACTACAACACAGCTTGATAAGTGTTTCATAGATGGGTGTTGGTACAGGATTGAAGGTCTCATTTGATGATGAAGGATCATAAATTATCGAAAAGAAGACAAAAACAGTGTTGCTTAAATCAAAACGCAAAGACGAGATGTATCTATTAAACATCAATCCAATACGAGGGAAGCCTTTTATATGTCTACTTACTAAGTTTGCTATAGACGATAGTTGGCTTTGGTATACAAGACTTTCGCACCTCAATTTCAAATATATCAACAAGCTGATTCTTGGTGATCATGTGCGAGGTATTCCCCTATTGAAGTATGACAAGGATCATCTATATGCCACCAGCGAATTAGGAAAGCAAAGCAGGAAAAGTCATCCAATAATAGTGAACATAAAGGTTATTAAGCCACTCGAACTTCTTCACATCGATCTTTGTGGCCCATTTGCAATTGAAAGTATTGGTGCTAATAAGTATATTCTCGTAATTGTAGACGATTTTTCTCGTTTCACTTGGGTGTTCTTTCTTAAGCAGAAGTCTGAAGCAACTCCTAAACTTAAAGATTTTATCAAGCAAATTGTGTTACAACTGCGAAAGGTAGTTCGTAATGTTCGAAGTGATAATGGTTTGGAGTTCAAGAATCAAGCATTTGATGAATTTCTTACGGAGAAGGGAGTCTCTCATAATTTCTCTGCTCCTTATACTCCACAGCAAAACGGGGTCGTTGAAAGACGAAATCGTTCATTATGTGAAGCTACTAGGACCATGCTTTCGTTCGCAAATCTATCTCTCTACTTCTGGGTTGATGCTGTTGCCACTAAATTATCAATGAATGAAAACCTAACGTAAAATTCTTTCATGTTTTCGGTTCCAGGTTTTTTATTTTCAATTCCAAGGTGTAACAAAACAAGTTTGATGAGAAGGCTGACGAAGGGATTTTTTGGGATATTCGCTAATATCAAAAGCATATAGGGTTCTCAACAAAAAAAACTCAAGCGAATGACTGTCAAGAAAAGGAGATCTTTCCTTCAGTGAACCAAGTGTCTATTCCATTGGCAAATCTTTACGAAGACTTCATGCTTCTATTTGATGAATCTGAAAAAGCTGTTTCTTCTGAAGCGAAAGTTGCTGACAACAAAGTCGATGAATTGAAGAAGGTAATAGATGAAGAAGCGAACCTCATGGATAATCAGCCACCAACTACGAATGTGCCTCAAGACACGAGCACTCCAGTCCAAGAGAAGGATTCAGACTCTAATGCACTTCCTCAGGGGGAGCAACCGACTACGGAAGAAACAAACATTCCATCACAGGGTGAAGAAGACACTCGAATTCCTAATGAAGAAGATCACTCGTCATTCGAGGAGGAGAACAAGGATGCGAATGACGATTCGGATGTTCAATCAGAGTTCGAGGAAGTAAATGCCGAATTTGATCCCTCTTATGATCCAAATTATCCTCCATTTGACAAATGGATCAGAGATCACCCCAAAACTCAAGTCATTGGTGAATCATCTACAGGTGCCCTTACGAGATCTCAAATAAAGCGAAACGAACTGCTTTATTCTCCAAAGTGGAATTATGTATGTTCAACTCGTTCGTGTCCAAAATAGAACCTAAAACTATCAACACTGCTCTTGATCATTCTGATTAGGTGCAAGCGATGCAGGACGAACTCAATGAGTTTGAACGAAACAAAGTTTGGAGATTAATTCCAACTCCTCCTGAAGCATCAGTTGTTGGTTTGAAATGGGTATTTTGTAATAAGTTGGATAAAGAAGGGAGTGTAATAAGGAACAAGGCGAGAGTAGTTGTTAAGGGTTATTGCCAGGAGAAGGGTATCGATTACGAAGAAACCTTCGCACCTGTTGCAAGGTTGGAATCAGTTCGGATATTTTTAGCATATGTTGCTCATAAGAACTTTGAAGTGTTTTAGATGGATGTTGAATGTTCGTTCTTAAAAGGGGAATTAGAAGAAATAGTATATGTTGAACAATCACCTGGTTTCGTTAATGAGAAGTATCCCAATCATTGCTACATTCTGGATATGGCAATTTACGGACTGAAGAAAGCTCTGAGAGCCTAGTATGAAACTCTTACTTGTTTCCTTAAAATGTCTAAGTTTATACAAGGTTCAGTTGATCCCAACCTTCTTTCGTAAAGAGGGTGACCACTTGATGACCATCCAAATTTATGTTGATGACATAATCTTCGGATCCACTAATCCTAGCCTTACAACTGAGATTAGAAAGCTGATGGAAACTAAGTTTATGATGAGCTCAATGGATCCACTAATCCCAGCCTTACATCTTTGTACTTTACAACATGTTGCTGAGAGAGATGGAGAAGTATGAGCCTGTTATGTCCCATCTCCAACTAATGATTAAGTCTTATATTCAAGAGGTTGGATTGATGGATGTGGATATTACCACTGTTTTGAAGAGGAAGCCGACTACCATTCCTAAGGAAGCTCCGAAAGACTTTGAGAAATTAAAGCCAGGGAAGATATACAAGGAAGGATGGTTCGTAGTGTATCAACTCAGAGAACGAATAAAAGCTGACTTTCGCAAGTCTTACTTCTATCTCGAAGATACACATTTATACAACATTGCCTATCTGGAATTTATATTGGACGTGATTACCAAGTTCAAGGGCAACAACAAGGATGGTGTCAAGTGCTTTTCTAAAATGTTACTTTTTATCCAAGTTCGCAAGATGCTGCTGAGCTTTATTCCAAAAATCTATGAAGTGTAGAAGCGAATCACTAGATGATGGGCTACAAACTCAATTGACGCAAAGGGGGAGATTATTGAAGATCTAGATGTTGCATCATTGGACTTTGATATCAGTCCTTTTTGTAAATGGGTTAAGCCTTTCCTCCCATATTTAATATTAGGGTTAGAGTATATATGGTGCTTGCATGCATCTTATTTTAGTTAACTGTTTTATTGATCTTATAACCCTAGCACGCCTCTGCAGTTGAAATTCTTCATCGAGTTCATATGAGGCGTGACTTTTAATCATTCAGCATTTGTTTGATCATCTTTGTGCTCTTTATTTACCTGTTTGAATATTGCCGATCATCAAGGATTTTAATCATATCAGGTCCATACTATACAATCTATGAAAGCCCATTAATGGCCTAATTTTCCAAATTGGACCCAAACCCTTACATGGGACTACCCTCTAGAATCCATTCCGTACTTCATAACCCTCCAATGGTCAACATTGGTCAAAGTCAATGTCAAAGTCAACATTCTGGTCAAAGTCAGCATCCTGGTTGACTCAACTCACCGAGTTGGTCTATCAACTCATCGAGTCCCATGAGTTAGAAATCATGAATCGCGATCCAACTCGTCGAGTTCTTTCCTATAACCGGATCAGGACTTTTCCATACAACTCGTCGAGTCCTTCCTTGAACTTGTTGAGTTCTTCATTCTTCAAAACTCAAAAAACTTGGCCAACTCACCGAGTCATCTTCTAGACTCATCGAGTTGTTCAAAAATCTGAAAGATCGGGGGACCAGGATCCAACTCGCCGAGTTGGATGAACAACTTGTCGAGTCCCCTTAGTCTTAATCTATTAAGTCACTTTATGTTGAGTCAAACACTTCCAAACCATAGATCTGGTCCCCTAAGGCTGGAATACCACATAAAGTTACTAACTTTACATCCATGCATGGTGTTAAGAAGTTAAAAACACCAAAACTAAGCTCCAAAAGAGGTCTAGGGCATGGGAAAAGGCCAAGACTAGATAAAGTTGGCAGCTTTCAGTCTCATGAGGCCACATACGTCTAGATCTGAAGTCACGACCTCAAAGCATGCTCAAATCCAAGAATGGTTTCAAAACAAGCTACTAAAAGCCCTAAACTCCTCCATGAAGAGATCTAGCAAATGAGTAGTCAAGGTATAGACTTTATACCTTAATATGGCCGCCTTAACAGAGAAACCCCTGGATCCAAAGCTTCTTCCTTCAACCAAGCACCTCAAACTTCAACTCCTTCAAGAAATTACCAAATAATCACTCTCTTTTCACTCCTACACACTCAAGAGGGCTCAAGCTCACGAATTAGGGTTTGCTGGACTGAGGGGGCGATGAGGGAGGCCACAATGAGGCATTAAGGTCCTTAAATAGGGTACAAAACCCTGAAATTAGGGTTTCATTTCTGCCAACCTACTTGTCGAGTCGGGGCTCCCCGATTCGTCGAGTAGGTTTCTTAACCCGCGTCCCCCAAAATAATTCCTACTCGAAAAGTTTGGGGCCTCCAACTCATCGAGTCCCTCTTCAATAATGAATGAATTGTTTTAAAAACACACTCCAGGAACCGGATGTCACACCATCAATCTCAATTTGAAAATGAGCCTCCAACTAATATGCAAGAAACTTTCAATTGTTCTCATTGTTCACTGCGAGGTTGTATTGAACGATCATTTGGAATCTTGAATAATAGATGGAAGATATCAATAGAATGCCTAAATTTAGTGTGCAAACTCCAATCGACATTATTATGGCCACATTTGCTTTGCATAACTACATTCGTCGTAACTTTGAGGAAGATATATTTTTTTAATTTTGTTGCATAACATCCTAATTGCGTACCAATTGATGAACTTCGTGATGTCCTTGGTAGAGATACGAGTAATGAAGATTTTTATGAATGATCTAATAATATGAAGTGCGTACGTAATGATATTGTTATTTTAATATGGAATGCTCGACGTCAATGATTTTATTACTATATTTTTTATGTTTTCGTATGATTTTTGATTTTGTAGTAGTACATAGTTATCGAAGGTTTCCTTGTTTTGAAAAAGAACAATTTAGACAATCATTTTTTTATTATTATATTTCTATTTTATATATTTACAAGATGCAATTTTATATAATTTTACATGTTTTAAAAGTTTCTAGTTACTTTTGTCGAACAATAAGATAACAAATAAAAACAACTACCAGTTATCTGTCAACATCTACCAGCTAGCAACTAACAGCTATCAGTTAGCAGTTAGTTTACCAAATACACCTATAAAATAGTCATAAATAGCTAGAAAGTCATCAAACTAGCGAGTTTTTTAAAAATAAACCATGTTATTTAACACTAATATAAAAAATGGTTTAGTTGGGTTAAAAATACCTTCCAAAAACTAGTCTTCGAAATTATTGATCTCTTTAAAGACGTCGGTTCGGATATAGTTAGATCAATGAAAACCGAACGGATTTTGTTAACCGGTAAAAAAAAAAACGGTAAACAATGGTTTGTTGTGCTCAATTATTTGGGCCAAAAGAGGTTACAAATACAACCCAGATTTAATTTTATTACCAATTAATTATTTTGTCATTTTTTAAATAATAGGTCGTGGATTATTGAACTAATTTTAATAACTAGAAATTATAGCAAATGTAGCTTATATTAGTGAAAATATAATCTAATTATTACTGATCTATATAGTTTATGATTTTGTATGTAAATTTTGTGGATTTTAACTTATTATAATTGTGAAAAGCTATTGTTTTATACCTTGAAAATTCGTTGGATGACCCCATATGAAATTGATGTATTAGCAAGTTTTTGATTTTTTTAACCTCTGAGAAATGTTGATAGCATCCTTGACTTTACAGTTTGACACTTTGGTTGTTTTGACCACATCTTATTGAGGGATATTTTATAATTATATTTTTCTGGAAATTTTTACCAATGTTTTATAATGATATTTTCATATAGTGTTTGAATATTACGAGTTTAATGACAAATCATTGAATAGACAAACTTAGCAAGCGCCTTTACACCTCGCTCCCGAATTGAAGCACAGGAAAGAAGAGAAGAGAAAAGAAAGTAAGGAGAGAAAAGAAAGGAAAATAAATTTGTCTTTTGTGTTCCTGAGTTGAAGAGAAATTGAAAGAAAGTTAAACATTTTATTCTTTCTTTTCAAATCCTTCCAAATCCGAAGGAAAGTTAGAAGGGAAAGTGATCCTTCCATTTTCTTCCACTTCCTTCCTTTAATGAAACTCGAAAACATCAATCTCTCTTACTTTCCTCTCATTTCTATCCATTTCCTTTCTTTTCTCTCCTTAAGGTGAACTCGAGAACGGGATGTTAGTCAAAGAATGCTACCATGGTCAAAATTGCATTCCCTAATCCGTTTTATTCATTTTCAATTTGTGTAGATCATCTTTAGATCTAAGGGTGTATTTATATTTTATCTTTCATTTTTCTGGTGTCATGTTAATTTTCATTCACTCACCTTGCACTTTTCAAAAACCAAAAAGTAGTCATATTTTACTATCTTTTTCTTTTATTTTTTAAAAATAAAATTAATTTAATTTTATAGGCTATAATTAAAAAAATAAATATATTAATTAAAAAATAATTAATAAACATAAAAATTAATAATTATTGAAACACTTCATTACTTAAAATAAAAAGTACATAATAAAACATAGAAAACATATCTAAAAATTACATAAAAAGCAATTTAAAAAAAAAATAATCTAGTGGGAAATATTTTTTTCATGATCTTCTTCCTCATCTTCAAAAACAATTGGAGGGGTTGTCCCAAAAAATTGTTAGTTTTTTTGCATCAAAAATTGCATAACTTCCATCTCTTTTCTTTTGGCGTGCTCTTTTTCTTTTTTGGCAAATTTTCCTTTGTCAAGTTACCAAACATTCAACGAAATTCATATTGTATCGATCAAAAGTCCCCATCATTTTCTACATTTTTTTGCTTCGCTCTTGAAATTCGATGCGTTGGAAGAAGCCCCCTTCCCCTTCCTTTTTGTTTTGTCCATATCGGCCGGACAATTTTTTCTAGCTCAAACCCGTCGTCATCATTTAAATCTAACTCGACACGAACATCGTCATCAATTTTTTCGTCATCATCATTATAAAATTATTCTTTTGACGAATATTTAATTATTATTTTATTAATTTTCATTAGTTTGAAATTTGGATAGCATGAAAAACCCATTGAAATTCGAATAGAAAGTTTTAAAGGCCACCTAAATACAAAAACATAATAATAAAAAAAAACTATTTAACTGATGAAGTTTATAAATTTATATGTAGAACTCTAGTCTTTCTTATTACAAGTTTACAAGTTGCATCAACGATGGATAACATCTGATAAAGAAACCAAACCAAGCGGATGTTATTGCTATCCATTCGATAAGACGATATATATGAGTATGACTCATTAACGGCGTGTCAGTTTCCTGAGTGTATACGTGCCACGTGTATTATTACGGCTATATATGGTATCTTCCGACCCTTTTTAATTTAGAGAAACTAAGAAACCGAGATAAGAAGCATGGCAATGGCGGAGGAGAGCATGGTGCAGTTGCAGAAACAGGAGACAATAATGAAAGTATTGGTGGCCATAGACGAGAGTGATAGAAGTTTATATGCTCTCCAATGGGCTCTTCAAAACCTCTTTCTCCACAATACCCCAGCTCCGGCGGAGGAGGGAGAGGAGCCAGCGATGACGGTGGTTCATGTGCAACCTCCTTTCCAGCAGCCATTCACCGCCACCCCTATTGGTCCCAGTACGTAGAACGTTCTCCAGTTTAATTTATACGAAATTAAGGTTTATTTATGAGTTGAGGTGAGAATGAAATGAGTTATTTGCCACGTGATATATAGTGGTATTTGCGACGCCGGCAGTAATGGATTCGGTGAAAAAGGCACAAGAAGCATCCGCAGGTGAACTTCTGTCTCGTGCCACGCAGCTATGCGAACAGCACAAGGTTAGGTTGGTGGA